GGAAGGGTAGAGAAAGATTGCTCACCCAGGCGCCTCAGCAACAGCTCCTCTGGGGGTGGCGGCCCTGTGATGGATGAAGGGGAAGGCGGAGGAAATACAGGGGGAAAGGCGGGGTGGAAGAGGACGAGAGTGGAGATGTGAAAGGTATGCAAGGGGACGCCTCAAGAGCCCCAAAGCTGAAAGGAATTACAGCAGGGAGCATAGGGGCGAGGGAATGGGGAGAAAGGTGGGAGGGAGGGCACCTGAAGTGAGGATAAGCTGAAAAGCACCTGAGAATAACCTAGAGGGCACCTGACCATCACCTGAAGCGGAGGGCAGGCGAGAGCGAGGGAGGGTTCGAAGAGGGCGGCGCGGAGCGCTGCTCTGCTGGCGAGTGCTGATTGGTCGGCGAAGAATGGGGTGGCTGGCATGGGCGCGTGGAAGGAGATGAACGGCTCTGCTAGCTCCGCCTGGAAGAAACTGACGTGGGGGGGAGGGGGATAGAAAGAGACTAAGCGAACAAGTGGAGAGAAGAGTAAAGGAGAGACTAACAAGAGGGGGGGGGGGAAGGGATTGAGCAGAGATGGTATGCATGATGGTAGTTTGCACATGCAGGCATGTGGGTTCACAGCTGAGAGCCTCAAGGGGGCCTTGGTTCCGTGCCTCGCGCCTAGCGCAAAAGCAGAAGCCCAAGCAAAAGCAAAAGCACAAGCAAAAGCAAAAGCACAAGCAAAAGCAAAAGCAAAAGCACAAGCAAAAGCAAAAGCAAAAGCACAAGCAAAAGCAAAAGCACAAGCACAAGCACAAGAAAAAGCAAAAGCAAAAGCACAAGCAAAAGCAAAAGCACAAGCAAAAGCAAAAGCAAAAGCACAAGCAAAAGCAAAAGCACAAGCAAAAGCAAAAGCACAAGCAAAAGCAAAAGCACAAGCAAAAGCAAAAGCAAAAGCACAAGCAAAAGCAAAAGCAAAAGCACAAGCACAAGCAAAAGCAAAAGCACAAGCACAAGCACAAGAAAAAGCAAAAGCAAAAGCACAAGCAAAAGCAAAAGCACAAGCACAAGCAAAAGCAAAAGCAAAAGCAACAGCAAAAGCAAAAGCAAAAGCAAAAGCAAAAGCACAAGCAAAAGCAAAAGCAAAAGCACAAGCACAAGCACAAGCACAAGCAAAAGCAAAAGCAAAAGCAAAAGCAAAAGCACAAGCACAAGCACAAGCAAAAGCAAAAGCACAAGCACAAGCAAAAGCAAAAGCAAAAGCAAAAGCACAAGCACAAGCAGAAGCAGAAGCAGAAGCAAAAGCAAAAGCACAAGCAAAAGCAAAAGCAAAAGCACAAGCACAAGCAAAAGCAAAAGCAAAAGCACAAGCACAAGCAAAAGCAAAAGCAAAAGCAAAAGCAAAAGCAAAAGCACAAGCACTAGCAGAAGCAAAAGCAAAAGCAAAAGCAAAAGCACAAGCACAAGCAGAAGCGAAAGCAAAAGCACAAGCAAAAGCAAAAGCAAAAGCACAAGCACAAGCAAAAGCAAAAGCATGGCTGAATCGGCTGGCGCTGGTTGAGAGACACGAGCATGGCTTGTGCATGCACGTGGTGGTTGAACCACACACTTGCACTGTTGCGGCCCACCTGTGCAGCGCCGTCACATCACTGAAGCCAAAGAATCGCTTGCGCCGGATCTGTGTGGCCAGCCGTGAGCGCCTGCTGTTGCCTTGTGCCACGTCAGCAGTAGAGCATCGTGCCACGTCAGCGCTGCAACCAGTTGATCGATCCGCACCTCTGCACCCACCATCGCCTCGCACTGCCCTTTCACTCGCTGTCCCCACGCCCTCACGTACCTCTGCACGCCCCTCCCGTACCTCTGCACGCCCTTCCCCTCTATCCTCTCCTCCCCCCATCACCGTCCCCCACTACCCCCCTCCTCCGCCCCACACCCCCCCAGCCCGTCAACCCTCTGCACCCATCCGCCTGCCTCACCCCTGCCCTCATTCGCCTGCCCTTGATCCCCCTTGCCCTCACCCCCACTGCCCCCACTCCCCCCACGCTCATTTCCCTTGGCCTGATCCCCCCCATCCACATCCCTCCTGCCCTCATTCGCTGCTCCTTCCCCCAACACTGCCTCCGCGCCTCTCTCCAATTCCGCCTCCCCATCCCCGCACTCCCAGCCTCCGCCCTCCCATTCCCCCTCCCCCTTCCCCCCCGCCTCCCCCTGCCCCTCCACCCTAAGCGCGCGCTCCAGCAGGGGCAGCAGGCGCGCGCAGCCATACCCGCCCCGGGCGCACACCACTGCGCGCGTGGTGGGGTCCAGAAACGCCTCCACCAAACCTGCGGCTCTGGCTCGGTCCGAGCCTGCGAGGTAGGCTTGGCGCAGCGAGACTTGCGCATGCACGACTGGGACGAGACCCCTGGCGAGATAGGGAAGAGCGGGGATGGGCAGAACGAGGTGGAGGGGGGAACCCAATGGCGTGACAGCGCGTGGCGGCAGCCCGCAAGTGAGCAGCGGCGGTCACGATGTGTATGAGCTCGGTTGTGCATTCCTAGCTGCTCCCTCACTCCCTCACACATTCACCCGATCGCCCAGCTCACGGCACGTGCGGCGAGTGGCAGTGCGGCAGCGACAGCAGGTGTGAGCGAGGGTGTGCCTCAGCTCACATATGAACCGTGCGCGTCACGTCACCACGCACGAGCGCGCGCGTGTGTGTACATGATTCCTACGCACGGGAGGGAGTGCTGGGTGTGCGTCGCCACGCAAGAGAGGGTGCGTGCCTCACCACGACGCCAGCACGTCGCAGCCTTGTCGCAGCAGTCGCGCGTCCACAGCCCCGGCGGGCGCCACGATGCTCACGCGGTCGCCCGCCCTCACTGCCGGGGGCGGGGCGGGACGCGACGGCGCGCTGCTGCGGTTTGGCATGGCGGTCGTGGTGACGCTGAAGATGACGCGTCGCGTGCAGTCTGCTGGCAGGGTTGCGGTGCGAGCCACGACGTCTAGCCGTTGCTACCTCGTGTTGAGGTGATGGCGAACTCCCCAAAAGCAAATGGTTTGTGTGGAAAACCGTACCCCCAGTAAGGTTCTCGCTACAGCTACAGCTGGCAGCGTTCTTTATAATAAATTGGTTTGCATGATTAGACGCATGTTGATGTACCATACAATTGATGCCTGTTTGAGCCCCTCCCGGTTGCCTTATGAAGGGGGCGTATAAGCTGTCACGAGCATTTCGCATAAGTTTCGTCAATTCGCAGCTAGCTAAAAAGGATTCGCATGTGCTTATAAACAAGATCTGTTACCTCGTTTGACTTCAGTCTCTTCTGCTTGACTTCGGTATGTTCGTTACTATTGGTTGATAACCACGCGACGCGCTTGTAATGTAGGTGCATGAAGCTGGGGAAACAACCTCGGGTGCAGCGTATCCATCCGGCGCAAGGCAAATTCGCGTGCATGGTATGAGCATCAGCTGTACTTTGCATTCAACATTTCCCTTGATTGAGATGGCGTTCACAGCAAGTTCGCTCAAAGCGAACCGCGCTCAACAACAGTGCACAGATATTTGTGAAGCACGTGTTTGGGGTTGCTACACGAAAATTTGTTCCGAACGATCTTGAAGTTTCTGGGGTTACATGCACGTGATTGGATCTGTTACTTGGGCCAACATCATATACATGCAAATTAGTCTGGTAACCCTATTCGATGGTATGCAAAACCGTCGATACCCCAGTTCTGCTTCGCAAATTTGTCTGGTAGCGCCACATAAAACACTGTGTAACAGCTGATGCAGCACAAAAAGGATGCAATGGGTGAAACAATCTATTGCATTTTCAATTTCGTTTCATAGTTTTTTTTAACCGCGCTTTTTTTGACGCCTAACAAAGATTCCTGCGGGCAACAATTTTCCGTTAAATGTGCACGATAAATTTTACAGGAAAATACGTCGAATGAAAGTTAACGGTGTCATTTTTGTAACAATATATTGCACCCCATATATTGCTACCAGGTACTGTTAGGGCAGGCAAGAAAAAAAAAAAACCCTAGGGACCTGGACTCCTTTCAGGGAGGGATCAACCCTAAACACGGGAAAGGCATTGTATTTAGGGTTGATGCCTCCCCAAGTGCATCCCTTTCCGACCGGGTTTTTTGGGTTGCGAAGCAACCTATTGCATTCGTTATGTACAATTTTTTTTTCATCGCCTATAATTGAAAAAAAAAAAAACAAAAAAGATGTAAATCTAGTGAATGATAGCCTAAATGTTTTCTAATCATTTGCGGTAACAGCTCATGACGATGTGTGGTAGTATATTCTTTTTATTTTTATAACTTGCTCTGGCTCTTCATATAGATGAATTTAGTGGAAAAATGATAATATGGTAAGCATGCGGCTGTTTATTCCGTAATGCATACGCAGAAGTATTCTGCCGTGCATAAAAAAAACTGGCATGCAGACGGTACGATGGATATAGTAAACGAAACATGGAATGGAAATGCATAAATATGATTCATATGATGTATCGGTATGCGTAGTATGTACTTATATATACTATACCAATCATAGGAATGCGTAATCCGTAATGCATACGCAGATGTCAGAATGTTATTGTCTAGCCTGCAGTGGGGTGCTCAATAGTGAGTACAACCCCTTAGGGTTTCCTATATGTATCCTGCTGCTTGCTAGTTCATCATCATTCCCATTCTCACAATTCTCCTTCGTATACCACAAACCCTAGTCCTAGGGCACAACCTACTACCTCCTAGTGTGGGCCTAGGCTACTAAGCCTAGGCCCCACTCCTAGTATTTTGACATGGTATTCAGAGCAGGCACGTTCCTGCCGCCTTCCTGTATGGGCCCACCACCTGCTTCCGCTGCCGTACTGTCCGCCGCGCGCCCCGTGGTGCGCGGCGGCCAAACCCTAATTTTTCATCCCGCCGCGCGCTCGGAGCGTGCGGCGGTTCTCTGCCAGCCGTGCGCCCCGAGGCGCGCGGCGGTTTTCTGCCCGCCGTGCGCCCCGAGGCGCGCGGCGGTTTTCTGCCCGCCGTGCGCCCCGAGGCGCGCGGCGGCTTTCTGCCCCGTCACTCCGCGAGTCGCCCCCGGGAGGAGCTGCGACGGGCGACGGGGAGCCGCGCGTCGCCCCCCGTCGCCCGTCGTGGCCCGAGCGACCTCCGTAGGGCCCGCGCGCGGCCCGTCCAGCCTGCGCGCGGCCCGTACGGGCTGCGCCAGGCCCGCGCGCGGCCCGTACGGGCTGCGCCAGGCCCGCGCGCGGCCCGTACGGACTGCGCCAGGCCAGGGCGCGCCTCGAGCCGCCCGCCACTGCAGCAGCAGCCCCTGGAGCCGCCCGCAACTGCAGCAGCAGCCCCTGGAGCCGCCAGCACCTGCAGCAGCAGCCCCTGGAGCCGCCCGCAACTGCTGCAGCAGCCCCTGGAGCCGCCAGCAACTGCAGCAGCAGCCCCTGGAGCCGCCAGCAACTGCAGCAGCCGCCCCTGGAGCCGCCCGCCACTGCAGCAGCCGCCCCTGGAGTCGCCCGCCACAGCAGCAGCCGCCCCTGGAGCCGCTCGCCACTGCAGCAGCGCGCGGTTGCCCGCGCCCTCGTGCGCTCTACCTACCTACCTACCTACCTGCGCCCTCGTGCCTTGTGCCTTGTGCCTTGTGCTTCGTGCCTCGTGCCTCGTGCCTCGTGCATCGTGCGCCCTGCTCCGCGCTGTTGCTCTGCACGCGCGGTTGCCCGCGCCCTCGTGCGCTCTACCCTACCTGCTCCGCGCTGTTGCTCTGCACGCGCGGTTGCCCGCGCCCTCGTGCGCTCTACCCTACCTGCTCCGCGCTGTTGCTCTGCACGCGCGGTTGCCCGCGCCTTCGTGCGCTCTACCCTACCTGCTCCGCGCTGTTGCTCGGCACGCGCGGTTGCCTGCGCCCTCGTGCGCTCTCCCGCCCCGGCCCTCCCCCCCCCCTGCGTCCCCTGGACAGGAGAGTGTGGGGGTGGCGGGTGTGGGGGTGCTCCGTGTGCGTCGCCCCTTCCTTCTCCTCCGTCTCCCACTGCTGCAGCTGCCGCTGCGGGGGGGTGGATGTGTGGGAGACGAGGGAGTGGCGCTAGGGGGGTGATGTGGGCGTGGAGCGAGTGGTGACCCTGGGGGTGAGTGTAGGGGGGAGTGAGACAGTTGGAGGAGGTTGCAACCTGGTGCTCCTGGTGCCCGTGTGTCTGCAACTTCAGTCGTCGCCTCCTCTCATCTCTCCCTCCACAGTTCCTCCTCCTCCTCACTGGCCTCCTGTGACTGCCACTAGCTTTGCTCATATTTGTGAACTATTGCACTGCCTGCTCATTGTACTGATTGCACCCCACTTTGGCTATGGGGGTGTGTCAGAATGTTATTGTCTAGCCTGCAGTGGGGTGCTCAATAGTGAGTACAACCCCTTAGGGTTTCCTATATGTATCCTGCTGCTTGCTAGTTCATCATCATTCCCATTCTCACAATTCTCCTTCGTATACCACAAACCCTAGTCCTAGGGCACAACCTACTACCTCCTAGTGTGGGCCTAGGCTACTAAGCCTAGGCCCCACTCCTAGTATTTTGACAGCAGAAGTATTCTGCCGTGCATAAATGGAACTGGCATGCAGACGGTACGATGGATATAGTAAACGAAACATGGAATGGAAATGCATAAATATGATGCATATGCTGTAATGATATGCGTAGTATATACTTATATATACAATACCAATCATGTAAATGCGTATTATGATGAAAATGCGTGATAGTTGATTGACCCATACACTAGGCTACCGCATCCCCTGCCTAGCATGGGGGGGAAGTCAATAGCCTAGCGTTTGAATCATCCGACTGCCACATGAAATAACACAATCTGTGTGATCTAAAAAAAAGGTCAATTCCATCAAATCCAGTTCAAATGAACACACTCACTGAGTGGGCAAAGAACCTTCTCGGAAATGATGGTTTGATCCTAATTTTTAGAACCCACAGACATGCGTTATTAATGCAACGCACATACGCACACAAGACAACGCATACCCACACCAATTAAAGAAACAGTGACCTATTAACACATGTCATCCCTCTCACACTCATTGTTCTCACGCTCGCGTAAGTCTGCACTCGTTTTCATAATCTGTTCAAATGTATAATAATTAACTCATTGAAATTAACTTCATAAACCCCTGTGAGCATCTTCTCCGTTGTTCCAAATCGCTCAAGCTTCACCATTGCTGCAAAAAAAAAAAGGAGCAATTTCCAAATATTTAAAAAATGATATATATCAATCAAATTACAATTACGATGAGTACATATACATAATCACAATAAAAAACGTGCTCACGTCATGTCTCCTTTTGGCGGGTGTTGACGAAATCGGTGTGCTCGATGTGTCAAAGCTCGCCGGAGCGTCGCTCGACTGCGTGATCGTCGAGATGTCCAAGATGGTCTTGCTCACGCGTTCTCCTTCTGGACGGAAATGGACCTTCAATAACAATGAAATGTACATACATAATAACTTGAGTTAGAGAACTATCAATACCATCCAAAAAAAACATACTAAAGTGCACATTTACAAGTACACAAAAATGTTAATAAATATATTAAAAACCACAACTGAATTCCCATACCTTCACATGCCACTAGCCTTGAAGCGCGCCCAATGCATCTTGCCGCTCGCCCAATGTCATGGAGTAGAAATTCGAAACCTGAAAACTTGGGAACAGTCGTCCCAAGATTTCAGGCTGAATCTCCAATCCCTGAGCCTGCGTCGTGAACGAATCTGAGAATGAAACACACAGAAAATAATATTAAAACAATGCGAATGTATTAAAACAATGTGGAAAATATAGGAGAAACCAAAACAGAAATGATAGACATGATGCTTACCACTCTCGTGAACAACAAGAGTCGCTGTCACGTTATCAAACGCGCGGACTGATGTCGCTTTGTGGACGCGACATCTGTGGACCCCCGAAGCCGCGGAGGTGAAAACAGGCATTCCGCAAATGGAATCTCCTGCACCAGCAGCGCAGACAACTCGAC